AGTGAAAGAAATATGCCCTGGCCCTGAAATTAAAGCCAACTCTGTTCCTGACCAATGAAACCAACTAATCCTTGAGCAGGAAAACAAATCAATCTTTGAACAGAAAATCTCTTTGGAGAAATTCTTCCCCTAAAAAGCTCCTCTGCCTGTTTAGTTGTGAGTTGTTCTTTCCCACCTTGGCAGAGGCAGCCATTCTCCTGGAAAACCTCATTCCAAAACAAATCTCTTTCTTAAAAGAGTCTTGGGTCAAGATCTTCATTAGCCTGCACAGAACAGAAGAACCTTGCCAAGACATTCCTTAGGGGGACTGAGCCGAAAAAAATCCTTGCTGAGACATTCCCTTAGGTGGGTTGAGCAACATTGAGCAGAAAAAAGTAACAATTTTTCATTGGAGCCAGAGGAGATGGCTGCATTTCTACAGGGGTTTCCCCTTTAGCAGTGTGAAGCAGAAGAAGCAACATCTTGGGCCAGAGAGAAGTAGCAGAGCTCTTAAGTGAAGGCAGAGCAAGGCTCATCTGTGAAGGCTCTCTCTCGGAGAGGAGCAGCATTGCTACATCCTGCAGGGAGACCATATCCCATCCCTCCCCATCTTCAGTTATCTCCTGACTTACTGACAAGTCAGGATACCTCTCCCTCCAGAGCGGTCCTATGGCAGCTCTAGGTGTAGCCTGGCTTCCTGACAAATCAGGATACCTTTCCCTCCAGAGCTTGTCTGTCCTATTGTGGCTCCAGCCTTCAGAGCTTTCCTATTACAGATTCACCCTCCAGAACTGTCCTATTGCAGCTCCAGGTATAGCCTGATTTCTGGACAAGTCAGGATACTTTCCCCTCCAGAGCTGTAACACTCACAAGCTGTCTTATCTACAATTTGTAGTGTCTGGGAGAGTCTAAAGCCTATGTTCCCTCACATATTCCAAACAATATGGTTCAGAATGGTTCTTGGTATGGGATAGGATGGCTCTCATTGGATGAACTGCCTGTTCTTCCTGTGTGGGCATGCACTTCCTAGTTGATCCACGTTGACCCTTGCTCTGACCTAGACAACACCCTTCTTTGCCCTGCATTGTCTTGTTCTTGTACCTGCTGTGGCACTGCCTCACACCTGTGTCCCAGAACAGAAGTGTTTAAAGTAGGAGAACCTTAAACAGCTACTTATCTCTACTCAAGGAAGATATAGATTCTATCTAGATCAGTCAGGCTTTGAAATCACACAGGTAGGCCTGACTCTGCATCCAGAGTGCTGGATCATAGCTATTTGCCATGTCCACCAAGCTTATCTCTCTCTACTCTGAGCTTTCTTTATTATTTTAATTTCATTTTACATACCAACCACAGTTAACCTCCATACCCTCTTCCTGCTCCTTACTCCCTCACCCCTATCCACACTTCAGAGAGCTTAAATAAAGCCTCCCTTGGGGAGTCAACAAAATCTAGCATATCAAGTTGAGGCTTGCCTGTGTTTTGTGTGACATCTTGGGATTACTAATGTAGTATAGGCTTCATCTCTGAATAAGATTGTTTCTTAATTTAATAATTGGTTAAATTGATTCTTAAATGAATACTTCCTCAGGAACTGTTAATTTCTTGTTACTGTTTTAGTTGGAAATTATTGTGAGAATTTCCCTACACATTGTTGTGTCAGTTCTTGTCCAGAGAACTACTCACTATGGAGTACCCAGCCTCTGCTGATAAGATCCAACACAACCAGTGCTAATAAGATGTAGGGAATGGTGTGGAAGATGGGCAGGACAGATTTTAAGAGCCAGGGATCAGAAGAGGATATGGTTTCCTATATTTGACAGGGAACCTTTACCTAGACTGATCTCAACAGTGTGGTTGCCTAAAAATGGCTTGGGATATGATGTCTTGTATCTTTTTATTTAAAATCTGTGGTTATCTGAAACATTCAGTTTCAAAGTACCTCCAGAGTCATCTCTTCCATTTGTCTTCTTTTATTTCCATGTTTTCTAACCGCTGCTAAAACCAAATCTAAATATAACAATCAAATGAAGATATCAACATCAATAGAATCCCCATTAAACAAAGACTTAAAAGCATAGTAAAAAGTAAGGGAGAAGTCATCAAAAGAAATGTGTTAAAGTTTCTTTCCTTACCTGCCATGGATAGAGGGAGAGTATCAGCAGTCCACAGTACAATGGAGCAAGAGAATTGGTTGTTCTTGTCTGATCAGCTGACCTGAGTCGCAAGTGTGTCCGGTATCAGACAGCACTTACTGGTCACTGTGCACAGGTGACCTGTGATGATCCAAATTTGTTTACAGGCATTGCCATGGCAACCCCAAGAACCTACCAGGTGGTGGTGGGGTTGGAGGGGAAATGATGTCATAAATGGGGTAGCAGCCAATGGGAAGGTTGGATTCTGAGCTAAAAGTTGGAAGTGGTTGAAGAGGATACCAGGAGACCAACAGTAGTCATGGAAGCTGAGGTGTGGACTAGTGAATCGAGGCAATCCTGGTATGAAAGTACCCCTTTCCATGAGGTCTGTCCAGGGTATTGGCATTGCTACTTATAATAAGCTGTATCTAGTGATACTATGAGGTGTCATCTTCCAGCTGAAAGTGTCCTATCAGCATTCACTGTATATAGACTCAGTAGCCTTGGACAGGAAGGAGAGCGACACCTAGGTGGAGGAAACTTGGATGAGAAACCATTTCAGTTGATCTTTTTTATGAGCTGTCAGCATCTGTCCATGAGCCAAGGAAGAGATCAAAGGGCTCCTTTGTGACTGTGTTGAAGGACAGGGCTGAGTGTATTGTGTGCACCTTGGATGATGAACTCCAAGAATCTTTTCTTTTAGTGTCTTCTCCTAGAGGCCTTCCTTAGTCTGTGTTTCCCCAGGCAGGACTCACATCTCCCTTCTCTGCTTTTCATCCCTTTTTGGTAGGGTTTGATTCTTGGGCCAGCATGACCCTGTATCCTTAAAGTGGTGGGCAGTATCATGGTGAACTTGTAGAAGCAGCGGTCTTCTGTTCATCGTGAAGATGCTTGTAATTGGATGCTGCTGGTAGAAGCAAGCACTTGAGGGGCTGATGGTGAGCCTTGCTGCACATGTTACCTCTTTCAAACTTGTTGCTATTTGTTGCCCAGACTTGTCTACCTCTGGATGTTTTCTCTCCTTCTTGTCTTTTGTTTTCCTGAGATAGGCAAGTCTCTGTAGCCCCTGTTTTTCAGAAGCTCACGGTGTATCTCACGTTGGCTTCAGACACATGGGCATTCTTTTTATCTTGCCTCCCTTCTTATAGTATTGAGGTTGTTTTGAGGTATTTCCCCTTAGTTGCTGGCCCTCCCTGGGTGGGGTCAGCTTATAGCTTTTCTTGGATCCAGGTCATGCCTGCCAGTAAACTCAGGCCTACTTTTTAGCTGGTTTTTATTAAGCTTGTCATGGCAATGGCCCCAGGTCCCATACCCCCCCACCCCTTCACAAGTACCAATGACAGGACTCAATCATGAGTCCTATCTGTCCTGGGGCTCAAGTGTATTGGGAACTAAGAACTATTAGCTAACAGATTTTTCTAGAGCAGTGACATTTTCATGTATTACCATTCTTAATGCCCTGTAGTTCTAATCTTTGCATACAACCAGATTATAATCCTGAATGATTTATATAGAAATAATAATTTCTTAAGGCCATATAATACCTCTTTGTTTCTGCATAAAGAAGGTCAAGTGCCTTATCTACTGCAGAATTATATTAATTAATGAACCCATCAATTGACAAATCTGGGCCCATTTTCCTGGTATGTCAATAAGCATAATAGTTAGCAATTTTTTTCTCTATGCCAGGGAGTTTCTTTTTGACTCAGTATTTCAACATATTGACAGGGAGTACAGGACAATGTATTCTCCTCTGTAACTGCTTCCAGCTGATACAGAGGCATAGTTGTCAGGGCCCAAAAAGGCTGAAAAACTAGTCAAAATCTGGAAGGCTAGTCAACATCTGGGCAGTGTATGTGGTTATCTGACCCAGCAGTAGAGACAGGGAACAATCACATTGGTTGAGCTGGTCCACATTAGCTTTCAGCAAGTCCAGAGCTAGTAGTTAGCAACTGATGCTTGGAGGTTTCTGTCAGCCAAGTGGAAACCTGTTGAGACAAATTTAAAGTAGGAGTAAAAGTTAAAATTTATAAAATTTTTGGAACTTTTAAATGTAGTAAGTGGAAAGGGGAGGAGTTCTAAGACCAGGAGAGACAAAAGTACTATCCTCAAGAATAGACAGATAGGGAAAATTTAGGCTATACTTATCTGGAGTCCTTTTGACTTCTGTGAAGTGGATCTTAGTTTTATGACTTTTTGGTCCTCTGAAGCCTATACAAATTCTTTACAAAGGACATAAAAGTTTTAGATATATTAGTATTACCAATCTATACCAAAATCCATATCATAGACAAAGCAGATAATGAGTATCTGTAAAACAGCAGGAATGGACTCAGATCTTAGAGTTCTAATAAAAACTACAAATTTGGGTTTAAAACATGTATACTTTCCTTCTGTCCTGAGAGCCAGGTATAGATTGGACAGGGTGGTCTTAGAAGCACCTTTAAGTTTATATTTAGTTGACAACCAAAATAAATCTAAAAATCTTGAGCTTTTGACTGAACAGTAAGTAGTCACTGCTCTACCAGCTTCTCAGAACTCTATTAAATGTGAAGCTCCAAACTTTCATACCACAGAAAGAGAAAGCAATCTAAAACATTTCTCATATCTTAAATCATGCATTTATATCTTTATAACATGCATTTACATCATGAATCATTTTCTAAGACCCTCAAACCTTATGATCTTTCATATCCTCAGACCTTCATATATCTTAACATTCTTAGGCACTCAAAATTTGCGTAGACTTTCATATCCTAGATCATTTTTTTAACAAAAGACATAGTACGTTTAGAAAAAGCAAGCCTTGCTTTTTATATATAAAATGAGCTAACAAGCTGGCTATAGCCTTGTGTTTAATGCTATTTAATGCTGCCAAGCTGACAAAGTCATAGCTAAGCTAGCTGTCAATACTATCCAAGAACTAAGAAGGATAAATTATACCTGAGTGCAGACCAAGCGGCTTCCTAATCTATTAGAAAATGACAGGGACCAGTTCATTCCCAGGTAGCCACAGAGACCAGTCCATTCCCATTTAGCTATACCCAGGTCTCCATAGCATTGGAAGCAGAAGTATCAGAACAGCATCAGTCTTCACCAGGCCCATAAGGTGAAAGTTTTTCCTGTAGAAAAGGAACATGGGGAAGACTGATCTTACTTTGTTTAGGCAAAAGTGGTACACTCAGTTCTTCAGTGTCCTGCTGCTTGTCCACAGTCTGGATTGGTTCTTGGCAGCAGGTGTTGCATCAAGGCATCTTGCCCAGTGGTCAGCATTGTCACAATCCAGGTATAGACATTTTGGTCCCCCGTAATCTTCTTTGGAGATCTTGAGTCACTGCTAGGATCTGAGAGTCTCTGTCTGATATAATAAGCTTTTTAATCAACATTTCAAATGCCATATCCTACAGCTCTCTGAAGTATTTGAGAGCTTCCTGAATAGACAACTTTCTTTCTAGTTACTTGTTTTAAGTTTAACACTGAAAACGTATACAGGGGAATAAGTAAGGCTTGTCCCTGCAATTAATTATATCAGTACTTAGCATAACTACAATTAAATAACTTGATCATTCATAAGATGACTGACTATTGTGTTCCCTAACAGTCTGCAATAAGTAAGCAACTTTTCTAAGACTAGGACTTTACATTCCATTCCTCTCAGGTTTAGCCTTAAAAACAATGATTTTTTAATTGAAGCTCTTTTAGTATCAAAATAAAACCTTTTAATCATAGATAATGGGCTGAGTAAAGAAATCAAAACAAAATAGTCATTCCATGGGTGTAGATGTAATTCCGTGTAGATCATACAAGAACACAGAGCCGATTCAGAGAAGAAAGCCAAGAGGTCAGAGCCAAGAGCCTCACTCTTCCTGATTCAGGGATCCTCCTCAGCCCAGAGAGCTCTCCAAAAGAGGAGCCCTCCTTCCTGTGTGTCTGTTTCTCTATATCTCCTTGTTCTGGCTTCTGATTAGTTGTAAACCCAATCATGTGACTGCCTCGTCACTGCCTGTATGTACCGCCCTCCAGGTCCTTAAAGGCGCACGCCACCACTGCCACGCACTTGCTATGGCTCTAATAGCTCTGACCCCCAGGCAACTTTATTTAAAATACCACCACATTTCCCCTTTTCTAATTTAAAAAAAGAAAAAGGTTATAACTAACAAAAGAAAAACTACATACAAAAGTACAATAACTATACACAATATATACAAGTAATAAATGTCTAAATAATTTCTAGTCCATTTGTATTTGACAAATTCAGAGAAAATAATTTCATTATTTATCTTATTTTGTTAAGTCCAAAATGTATCTAATTCACTTTCTATCCTAATTAATCTTCTACTATAACTAACTAATCTTCAACTATAACTATCTTTCAACTATAACTAACTAATCTTCAACTATAACTAACTAACTTTCATTTCTATATATCCTAATAGTTGGTAATAATAACATTCAAGGATCAGAAAATTGCATTGTTAAATGAACGGTATAAGTACAATTAGAAATATACATATAGCATTTTCTAACAATATCAATTCCAATATATATAACTTGTATACAGTATAAAACAATCCAATCCAATGTAAAAATACTTAAAACTAGTAATTATCTTTTTCTTCTTCTTTCTTTTTTTTTTTAAATAAGAACCTTAAATCTAATCTCCTTTGCTTAGCCTTTTTCCTAACCCTTGACAACAACTTGTAACCAACCCCCTAAACAATGAAAATTATCCCAGACCCAAAACCCATTAAAAAGACCAAAAAACCACCTACCCCACACCACCTCTTTGGGAATGTGGGCGTCGTAGTCTTAAAATTGCTTCCTACTGGGTATGGGCGAAGTTATCTTTATCCTGAAAGAAAAATTTTAGGTTAATTGTCAAATTCTAGGAAAGGTAACCATATCCTTCATTATCCAGACTATGTATAATGCCAAAGTTCAGGGTTTATCTCAAGTCCTTATTCAAGTAGTCTTTGAGACTGGATCATCTCAGCTAGTCATCTCAAAATTACTCTGAGCACCTTGTAGTTCAAAGCTGATCTGTAGATGATGTTTCTCAGCTTAGTGATATTATTATTGACCACGTGGAATTGTTGTTGTTGTGGGGCCCCAACTTCTTTCTGGGGACTTCAGTTGATGTTAGGCCTGGCCGTGATTTTCTGCAGAAAACCATACGCCGTTTCACTCTGTTTCCTGGGATAGATGATTTGTCCCTTTTCTTCAATTGTCTCATTTTGAATTTTCCTCTCTGTCCTTCTGGACCTATACATTCGAGCCACCTTGCGCTCTGTTTCACCTGAGATAATGTCCCAATACCTAACAGTTGAACGTTTACCTCCTGAAGAGGCCAAGTTGGATGCCAAAATTCTGGTGCAATTATGGTAACGTCCGCACCTGTGTCTACCAGACCAGACAACAAAACATCATTTATTTTTATCGATAATTTTGGTCTTTGTTCATTAATAGAAGTTTGCCAAAAAATTTTCTTTATGTTTTCTCCTGAATTTTCTATTCTCTCTGTTTCATCATCCTGACCAGCATGACTTATTCCAATAGGCATTTGGTTATTTAATTGCTCTGAGTAGGGGTTTCCTCTATGACTGCAGGAAAGGTTTGAACTGGATTTGCTATTGGGGCCTGCATGAGGCCCCTCTGGGAGTTTCCCAAAGACTGAGGCAAAGGATTACCCTGTCTGTCCCTTGTTGATCTACATTCGTTGGTCCAGTGTTTTCCCTTACCACACCTTCTGCATACTCCAGAAAGAAGGGGCCTTCTGTTGCCATTGTTCCTTGAGGAAACATTGTTTCTAAGAATGACCTGTTTACAGTCCCTTCTCAAATGTCCTTGCTTTCCACATCCAAAGCATCTAACATTCCTCAAACCCTTTGAAAGTGCTTCTCCTACCCACGTATCATCATGCTCATGAGCTTCAACATTAACCGTGTCTCTAATCCAATCTTCCAAAGGTGCAGATCTTGCCTTTAATGGCCTGATTATTGTTTTGCATGCTGCATTTGCATTCTCAAAGGCCAAAGTTTCAATTATTATCTTACTAGCTTCTGAATCCGGGACCATTCTCTTTATTGCTGAAGCCAGTCTTTGTAAAAAATCTGTGAAAGATTCTTTTGGGCCTTGTACAACCTTTGTAAATTACTCAGTTTTTTTTTCCTGGTTCCGCAACTCTGTCCCATGCATTCAAGACTGCTGTTCGGCATAAAATTAAGGTTTGGACATCATATAAACATTGTGCTGGTGCTGAAGCATATTGACCTTCTCCAATAAGCTGATCCTGGCAGACTTGTATTCCTTTATCCCTCCACTGTTTTTCTATGTTTTTAGCTTCATCCTTGAACCAAGTTAGCCACTGAAGCCTTTGACTGGGTTCCAGAACAGCTTGTGCCAGCTCCCGCCAATCCTGTGGTACAATCCTATTATAGGTTGACCAAGAGTTTAACATTTGCTTTACATATGGGGAATGCATGCCATAAGATACTATTGCCTCCTTAAACCTTCGTAAATCTAACATTTCGATTGGAGCCCAAATATTTTGTGTAGTCATTTGATCAGGCAACTGCTGTACGGTTACTGGACAAACTAAGGGTGACTGTGTGAAAACAGGCTTTCTTTCTGTAACCCTATGATCCAATCTTGAAGCAACTTCACTGTTAGTTTATTCTGTCTGAGTTTTTACAGGTGTATCAAGTTTTTCTAAAGCTGTCACCCTGGCACTTAAATTGACTATCTTTCTAAATAGTAAAATAAGAATAAATATAGTAATAAAATGCATAATTCTATCAACATTAATCTTCTCATATAGCTGTTCTATTGTTAGACTGTCTAAAATTGCAAACAAAGCCCAATTTTCTTCTAATGAACACGGAAAACCCATTTTTTTTTAAATGTGGAAAAAAATTTCTCTTTTAAATAGTTTCCTTTAAAATATTGGATAACTAAGTCCTCGTAGAACAGTACAAATCCGAGGGAATTTCAAAACAGCCACCTAGTGTCCGAGGTGTGAATCCAGCTCAGCAGTTAAACGGTTTTTAACGGATTCTTGTCACGTTGGGCGCCAAATGTAGATGTAATTCGGTGTAGATCAGACAAGAACACAGAGCCGATTCAGAGAAGAAAGCCAAGAGGTCAGAGCCAAGAGCCTCACCCTTCCTGATTCAGGGATCCTCCTCAGCCCAGAGAGCTCTCCAAAAGAGGAGCCCTCCTTCCTATGTGTCTGTTTCTCTATATCTCCTTGTTCTGGCTTCTGATTGGTTGTAAACCCAATCATGTGACTGCCTCGTCACTGCCTGTATGTACCGCCCTCCAGGTCCTTAAAGGCGTACGCCACCACTGCCACGCACTTGCTATGGCTCTAATAGCTCTGACCCCCAGGCAACTTTATTTAAAATACCACCACACATGGGTAAAAACAAAACAAGTTTGTACCAAGCTGTTAAGACTGTCTTGTGGACAGGCAAGGAAATATGACAAGAGAAAAGGCCCAGAGCAAAATGGGAACAGAGGGGAGCCTAGGGGCTAGCACTGCCCTTGACAAGTTGTTAGGCATCACAGCCGTAGGTTAGTAGAAGGGCCACAAGTTCTTTTTATCAGAGATAAGGAGGGTGACTCCCTTTTTAGCAAGGAAGAACTTTCTCCAGTCCCCTGAGGAAATGGGAGTCTGACCTTGGGAAAAGGACTTTGTAATTTTATCTGTGTTAAGTATGAGCCTTAAAAAGAACAATTTCTCACTTGAAGCTCCTTTTAGTATCAATAAAAAACATTTATTTGACTCAGTTTATCCAAATAGCTTAAGCTTAACAAAGTTAGCAAAGACAAAGAGGTTAGTCTGATCTTGAGTAGGGAGAAACATTCTCTAAGCCACTGGTTCTCAACTTTCCCACGCTTTGATGTTTCAATATAGTTTACAATGTTGTAACCCCCAGCTACAAAATTTTTCCCATGGCTACTTCACAACTGCAATTTTGCCATTGTTGTGAATCTCAATACAAACATCTGACATGCAGGTGGTCCTAGGTTACCCTGTAAATGGGTTTTTCAATCCCCCAAAGGCCAAGACTTATGGTCTCAGAAGCTGCTTCAACCACTTTGACAGACTGCTTAGTCATTGTATTGCTGCATCACAAGAAATGAGCACCACAGTTTCTGGTAAGTGTTTGGTGATTATGGTTGTGACCCTAATTTTTAGCCTTTTATTTTAAGTCCAAATATTAACAATACAAAATATTTCATAAACATAAAATGTCCCATAGCCTTATAAATATAAATGTAAGTTTTAAAAAAAGGTTTGAAATATCTCAAATTTCTATCTGCATATCAAAAATAAAGTACCTTCTTTTGTTTTAAGAAGGATAAAGTATGGCATAACCATAATTTGTATAAGGCAAAACCAAGCTCCAATAGTGCAAACAATTCCAATGTTCAATATCTGGGATTCATTCACAATCTTTTTCTGAGAGGTTTGGATCTTCTCTTAGGCCCCACCCTCAGCAGCATATACATAGCCTGCCTTCTAGATTTCAGCCTGCTCCATTTCATTGTGGCTGGTGCTTCTGGTGATTATCACCTGACACTGGCATTTCCAAAACTGTTAAGGTCCACTATTGCAACTGAACTCTCTTTGGAATTCTAACCTTGCCATACATTTGCAACCCTCAGCTGTTCTCTATGATCCCCTAATGTCCATAAAGCTGTTATCACCTGGGTGACATTTAAATTATGAAGTTTAGCCAAACCAAGATACATTCTTGTGTATAAAAGCATTGGGGTACAGGTTTAATATCTTATTAAAGAAACAATATTTTTAAATCCTATGTTCTGTAAATCTTGTTTTCAGTACAGGACATGAATTATCATGCAAAAATCCACTGAAATCCAACATATCTTGGAAAATTGTTGTTGCGTCCTTAGTAGGCCCACTCCACGTGGTCATTTATCAAGATGGTAGTGAAATCATGTGATATTCATCTTTTCTAACCCTAGCAAAGATGGCTGTCAGACATGTGACTGACTGCCCAAAGATGGTAAAGTCAAATGATGTCCACCATCTCTAACACTAGGAAGACAGCAAACAGCCATGTGACTAAATAAAAGTGGTGGCAATCCAAAAGGGAATCATGCCATATGGTTCCTTTCAATTTACCCATGCAAAGATTTTTAATTATCAATTCTCAGAGTTACTAGATGGAAAGACCAAGCTTGAGGTTGAAATAAAGTTTCTTTATTGTTACATATGTGATTCAGTCTCCATGGTGGTCATTTGGGGGTGCCTGAGATCTGGGCATAACAGTTCAGGGGCAGAGCACAGGATTTGCAGACAGAGGTCCTGGGCTTGATCTCCAGCATCAACAGATGAATCAGTACAAAACCCTCCAAGGGTTGTTTGAACTTTGGATTTGTGGGCAAGGTCAGGTACAGTTATCTCGGAAGATTCAAAAGTACCTGCTTAGAGCAGTGCTAACCATGCTAAAACTCAGAGTGTCTCCAGAAAGGGTGCAGTTTTCAGAACTCCAGGGGCAGGCTGTTTTGGTGCCTCCTCCCTGTCTTTTAGTTATTCATTTGAGAGATGGTGACTGAAAGGACACTAGCCCACTAGAGCATGTGTCTCTGACAGGCCTTGCCCTTCTCCCCTATTCCTTCTTCCTTGCTAAAAATCCTTAGATAACATTCCTAAAGCGAACCATCAAGGTCTAGTCTCCTATTTGGCCACTTCTTCCTCCTGAGGCTGACAACCAAAGTCCAGCCATCAGAAGCCCCCTTTGGCTCACCTAATTAACATGTTCAATTAAAATTAAACAACTCAGAATAACACCTTTATAATCAGGCATTAGCCTATGTTCCATGTCTGTCTCCTTTCTATCCAGAGACAGTACTTTGTCCTTCTGGGATAAATATCCCTGTCCCATCTCCCTTCTCCCCTTCCCCATCTCTGTCATAATCTATCTCCTTTATGAATGCATCCTAGCTAGCTCATTCTAACACAAACCTTTCCTTTTGTCTTCTTAAGGGACACCTGCAAGGTCATTTGATGCTGTTTTTCTGCCTGAGTCAGAGCAGCCACTTTGACATTTCTTCCCAGCTTAATAGACTATCTCTCTGGGAAAACCAGTGTTTGAGTGTGCTTTGTGCCTAATCCAGGGTCTGGAAGGGAGCCCCGCTGTATGGGAGTCCCCTTCAATGACATTGATAAGTAGAGACCTCAACCAGCCCTGGGACCAAGACCCAGCCAAGCATTTCTTCTGTCCCTTTTATGGACAGGCTGCTGTATTCATAGATGTCTCCTGGGAGCCAGAGGGGCAGGAGCCTCTCTCTGGAGTTCAAAACATAGCAAGCACCTGCAGCCTGTTTGACTCCACAGCCAAGTAGAACCTGGGAGCCTCACGGGAGATATATATCTGACACCCTAGGGACAAAACACACACCTTTCAGGTTGTCTTCTTTGGTGATGGTCTTGAAGACATGCCTTGTCTCCTGCAGGATTCCTGTGACACCCCCTCCCCCAATACGAGGGTCACCTGGATTTTATAACTGCAAAGGAGAAAAAATTGAGGGTAAGGCCTGGGTAGTTCCAGCAGTCACAGCCTGGCCTTAGGGACTGGTAGTCTGATCCTTCACAGCTGAGGAAGTGAGTCTCCAGAGGACAGTGCCTTTGTAGCCTGGCAATGATCAAGCCAGCAAGAGCCAAGGCACCCCAACTCCTTGTCCTGGGCTTTGCAATCTCTGGGCTGTTCTTAAGTGTCCTTTGGGCTTTAGCCAGGGTTCTGGAGCCAACAGGTCATACACAGAACCAACAAAGCCCAGTCTTATTGCCTTGGTGGAGCAATTGCCATTGGTAGGACATCCATCATTCATTTTTGGGCCTCTTGAACTGTTCCTGGAATGTAGTTCTTTTATAGAGCTGCCCAGCACTAAGGGGTGAGCCCCCTCACAGGCTGGCCCCTGCCCACTTCCATGTAGTAAACATTTGGAGCAAACTATGTGCCTAGTGTGCTAGGTGGGTGTGAGGTAGGACACTGATTGATAGGACCTATATCCTGCTCCAGTGGAGCTGAAGTTCTCATGAAGGACAGTGCATAACAACACCTGGGCAATTCTATTTCTTGATACTGATAATGGCTGTAAGGAAAATAGTAACAGAATAATTTGAGTAGACGGGAAAACTTTAGGAGTGGTAGGCTCTCAGGAAGTGACATCAGAAAGGTGACCTAAGTTACAGCAGGAATCAATACACAAAACCTGCAGAGTACCCTTATTAAGAGAAGGACCAAAGCAAAGGTACATGATGTGCAAGTCACACAGCGGCCAGCCACAGACACTGAAAATTTTTACTCTGACTGGATGGGAAGCTGCTAAAGAGAAGGCAAATGGCAGTTGGTAGTCTGATGTCTGATAACAGCCTTCATTTTGGGAATTTAATCTGGTGTGTACGTGGAAAAAACAGTATGTGAGCTGGGGGAACCTTCTATACCAACTTGAGGGAGCTGGAGGTAAGTTAGATTCAAAAACAAGGTGTTAATTGACTTGAGGTGGAGGATTAGGAAAGAGGTGATGTGTGTGTTTCTAGGTTTCTAGGCTGAACAAATTGTATACAGAGATGTGTCATTTTCGAAGATGAGGAATTCAGGTCAGAGAGAGCTGACCTAAATGGAGACCAAGGGTTCTGTGTTAGATAGGTAGTTTGAGGCACCTCCTGGATGTCCAGGTAGCTGTTGGTTGCAATGAGGTAAATGAGTCTGGCAATCACAGGAAAGATCTGCACTGGTGATGGCACCCTGGAAACCATGATGAGAGAGAATCTGCCCCCAAGAGTCTCAGATAGAGGCTAGGTTCCAACAGTGTGAGCCAATGACATGCAGAGAGCACTTAGTGTGTTTAACAAGGTTCCAGGATGGCTCAGGTCGCAACCATCTTAGATCTTCACTGTTAGTAACTTAGAGATACCTCAGGGATACGAAGTGACAGATGACAAGCAGAATACTGCCACTGAGTAACAGTTCCCAGATGAACATATGCTCTCGTAGAAATCACCTGAGATAGTAGCACCATGAAGATTTGCATTTACAGGCTTGGCCTGAATCATCTGCAGCTGCCTAGGTGGTGAAAAGAGCCCACAAAGACGCGTTGGTAACAAAGCAAACAGGATCACAAACACCCACAGCCAGATGGTTTCTCAGGCTGCATCTCTAGTACTCTCAAGACTTGAGGGTCTAATCCCATGGCAGGCTTCAGAAATAAAACTCATGTGTCTGGCTTGAGCTCACTACATAGATCACAGATGTACTGCTTCCAGAGTTCATGCAGAGGGAGGAAGAGACTGTATCTGTCATAAAGTCAGAAACAGGTACAAAGACAGAAACATGAGCTTGGGATTTCCAGTGTTCAGGAAGACAGCTGGGCTCAGGGCTGAGAATGAGCATGAGGGAGCACTTGAGACTTCATGTAAGCCCTAGGATCCCCAATGACAATGTGGCCAAGGCCGAGTGCATTCCCCTCCTTGAACCTCAATTTCTTCCCTGGCAGAACCTTCTCAAGGCTAAATTTCTGCTTTTGAGAAGGGAAGAGGGAGCCCTTTGCTTTGATTCTCTTCATGCTGGCCAGTTGTAGATGTGATGGTGGAGCCCTGGCTCAGACTAGGAATAGGATCTGAAGGTGGAGATATAACATCAGCCATAACAATCCAGGTGCTGTTCACTCAATGTCCTTTTCCCAAGAGAAACTGTGGTATATTGGATGTGTGTTCATGGGGGATCAAAGAAAGAAGGCACAGAGCACTCTAAGAATGATTTTAGACTTTATCACCTTCAGGGGGGTCCGTCTCTGGACTGAAACACTGTAGATAAGCAAAGAACCCTTTTATTGTTATGCAATTCACAACTTTAGCAGTCAGTTCCATATACCTCTTATCTAAGCCCCTCAATGAGACAATGCCAAATGCAAATTCTCAGTAAAGGAATACTACAGTTTTCTGGGTTGTCCCTAAACCAAGTTTTCATAGGCTTTGAACTCCTAGCAAACTCTCAAATAAGACTTCAAACAGGAGATAATGGAGACAGGAGGTAGCAATCACAAAAGGAAGATCAAAGCTAGGTGCTAACACTCAGGAATCAAACCAGCGGCAGTTCTGCAGAAATTCTCCCAACATATGCCCCTTTTTACATGCAACAATTATTTTGGAGGTTATGGAGCTTCATAGCAAATACAAACTTTTCTCTATCTTTCTGTTTTACAATCTTATATAAGTAAATCAAAACACATCTTAAAGCCAATAAGGTTACTGTTGCTAGCAAAAGAGTAACACTTGCTACAACAAGAAATCTATTCAAGTGATGTACAGGGCTGAATGAGGCTATAGTATCTGCAAGGCTTTCCATAACATCCATTCTTGTCATATCAGGTAACTTTAAAAAAATTCTTACTTTCTTGCTGTAAATCATAAATCATTTGAGAAGAGATAGGGTGACCCATCAAATGCATCTTAAACTTTTCCCAACCATACTTGCTTTCATTAAACTTTAAAGGAGTAATACAATAACATTCCAATCACATTTTAACTTTATTTGCTCCTTTGATAGTTCTAACTGATCTCTCAACAATATACCAGATTGTCTCAAATCAGCTAATTCATTAACTATCTCATTATCTATTTTATTTTGTTCAGTCCAAAGTTCTGTAGAATGCTTATGCCAGTTTCTAACAAACCCAGTAGTTGGAATTTCTTTATGAAGCACCACTGCTGTGGGATGTTCTGTATCGCAAATGTGTTGCTAATTAGTCAATAAATAAAACACTGACTGGCCATTGGCTAGGCAGGAAATGTAGGCAGGACAAGGAGGAGAATAAAGCTGGGAAGTAGAAGGCTGAGTCAGAAAGACACTGCCAGCCGCCACGATGACAAACAGCATGTGAAGATGCCAGTAAGCCACGAGCCATGTGGCAAGGTATAGATTAATGGAAATGGATTAATTTAAGCTGTAAGAACAGTTAGCAAGAAGCCTGCCACAGCCATACAGTTTGTAAGCAATATAAGTCTCTGTGTTTACTTGGTTGGCTCTGAGTGGCTGTGGGACTGGCAGGTGAGAGAGATTTGTCCTGACTGTGGGCAAGCAGGAAAACTCTAGCTACACACCACTCTGGCTGTTGCACCAGCAGCAGTCAATGCAATAATTCTCATAATAACTGCAATAATCAATCCAACCATTTGATGTATTCTTCTTAATATTCTTTCAGCTAACTTCTGCACCAGGTTCATCAAATGTGTGTGCCTTGACATGACATCGAACAACTTCACTGGTATCCAGATCATTGTCCTTGCTCTAAGAATATATAAACTTTGAAATAGTAAGTTTAAAGACATACTCGAATTAACACAGGTATGAAGGGTACAGCATTCACAAGTGATGCAGTATTTATTAGGGTACAATTGTACAGGCCCATTTAGTAGCTAGTAAGGTAATGGTACACAAGCCATAAAAGGATGGCTTTCAATCAGTCTAAAAGACAAAGCATACTTACCATCCTTAATGTGTAACGTTTCTTCCCATACTTTAAGAGGATGGGAGGTAACCAGGCCTGTATGCCCACCCTGCACCAATTGGGAACAGGTGAGGCCCCAGTCTCCAGACTGCTCAGCCCCCCTAGGCCCTGAAGGCACATTCAGTGCCACTCCCCCCACCGAGTGCAGCTCCAGAGACTGGGAATCAGCCTCCTCCTACCCCCACCTCTGGCCAACCATCCTGTTAGGCACCAGTGACCACCAGAGCCATATGCCTTATCCTGGACCAATTGGGAAGAAGAGCAACCACAGGACCCAGAGGGTCCACCTGCACCAATTGAAAGAAGAGTGATCTGGAGCTCCACCTGTTTATATTAAAGGAAGAAATGGGTAGACTGCAGTGTAAGAACACATTAAACAACATAAAGAGCAATGCAGTACCATCAGAACCTAGTAATCCTAAAACAGCCAAACCTGAACATCCCAAAGCAGATGTTCCAAAAGAAAATGACCTTAAGAACAACTTCATGAAGATGATAGAGGCACTAAAACAGGAAATGAAAAATTCCCTTAAAGAAATGGAGGAAAAGAGAAACAAAAAGTTGGAGGAAATCAATAAATCTCTTAAAATGAATAGACCCAAGAAATAACAACCAAACAAGTGAAGGAAACAGTTCAAGACTTGAAAATGAAATAGAGGCAATAAAGAAACTCAAACTTAGGGAATTCAGGAAAAGGAAAATCTGAATAAATGAACAGAAACTACAGAGGCAAGCATTACCAACAGAATAAAAGAAATGGAAGAGAGAATATCAGGCACTGAGGATACTATAGAGGAAATAGATTCATTGGTCAAAGAAAATGTTGAAATCCAGCAAATTTTTAACACAAAACATCCAGGAAATCTAGGACACCATGAAAAGACCAAACCTAAGAATAATAGGGATAGAAGAAGGAGAAGAATTCCAGCTCAAAGGTACAGAAAATATATTCAACAAAATTATAGAAAAAAACTTTCCCAACCTAAAGACAGACATGCCTATGAAGGTACAAGAAGCATATAGAACACCTAATAAACTGGACCACAAAAAAGTTCCAATGCCACATAATAGTCAAAACACTATACATACAG